GTAAGCTTGAAGTTTTTTTCTTGGGATGGCCGTTGGATGATGAGTCCACTTACAAAGTTAGTAAGTGCACCAGCTGGATGCAAGATGTGCAAAGCAGGGGAAGGCAGATAGAGCTTGTTTGGAGGAATTGAGCTTGAGGCATTTACACAGTAGTGAGGTGAAGATATACAGTTTGGAAATAATATTTTGGGTTCATAAGAGTGATGGGACTAGAGGTATAAATTTAGCATGAGAAGAGACCTAAGGAAGGAACCTGTGGAAATACTAACATTCAAAGAGATGGCAAAGAAGAAGTCTGGGAATTATTGTGGACTCTTAGAAGATTATCAAGAAGACTTCCAACAGAAAAGTGTTAGAAGCCATAGAAAAAGTGAAAACTGCAGTGATGAGTTTCGGTGAGCAGATGTGAGAGAGCTGAGGGATGAGCTGTGCTGGTTGGGGAGGAGTAGGTGAGTAGTAGAAGTATAGAGGCTAGTGTGTATTTTTCTGGAAAGAAACAAGGGAAAAAACTGAGCCAAAGGATCAGTTTCTCTCAAAGTCATCCGGTTAATTATAGAAATTGTACATTTTGCATCCAGTGAATTTGTGATGCTGTCCTTGAACTTTGTCTATCTTTCTCTCCCAATAATAATAGGGCCCAGCAAGCATGATGGGCTACTTGCTTGTTTCTGGGCTATTTCTAACTCGACTTAGAAGACCCATTGGTAAGATGACAATAACTGAGCAGAAGTATGAAGGAGAATATAGATACGTTAATTCTCGGCTTATCACAAATAGGTAAGGAGAAATTATTAAAGCTATACTAAAAATTAATTTTTATGAATATTTATGTTATTTAAATTGACTTCAAGAAGTCTGGTAACACTGTTATTGAAATAGTGTGTGTATTTACTTGTTTTGAAAATATGTATTATGAAGGATATTAGTTTTATAAAGTAGTAGTCTTCCATATTTTGAGCCCTTTTTCTTCTTAACTATGTGATATCCCTGGTTCACCTCTTCATATCTTCTGTTAATTTCTCTTTAAACGTAGTCAAGGTACAATTCAAATTCAAATTTATTTACTTGTTCAAAGAAAATTTTTTCTCAATTTATCCATAAATACTTTTTATTTTGAGACAATGTTTGTATTGCTCAGTGATTAAGTCTCACTGCATGTGTGTCTACCTATTTTCCAAATAGTCTTGAAATCTAAAACAGAAAGAAAAAGTGTAGCAATCCTTGCATTGCTAAAATGTTACCAGTTTTAAATGGGGTTTTGTGCTGTGGGGAGGCAGAGGAACAGAGAGTTAAACTGAGAGGTAATTGCCAAGTAAATGAAAGATGGTATCAACTCAGATGCTTTCTACTGCAAGCAACAGAAAACATGAGTCAGATGGCTCCAACAATAAGGACCTTTACTACTTCACATAAGAACTCTTTAAGTCAGAGCAGTTCCGGGCACAGCATGATGAGGTCTCTGGCTCTTTGAGTTCTCTTGGCTCTCCCCGCTTTGTATGTTGCTCCTTTCTTCAGACTAATTCTTTTTGTGATCACGAGATGGCAAAAGCAGTTCTACATTTCACTAGCCCATCTCCCCTTGAAAAAGGTCTAGGATCAAAAAGGGGTCATTTTTTCTGGTGTCTCTCTAAGAGAGCAAAGAAACGTTTCCCCAAAGTCCCACAGCTGACTTTTCCTTCATCTCATTGGCCAGAATTTTCACTTGCCCATGCCTAAAGCATTCACAGCAAAGTGATTGGCTTAGACCAGTTGGGACCCATACACTATGAATGTGGTTGAGGCCGTTTCTAAAGCATTAAGATACCCAGGAGAGGATAGACAACTTTAAGAAAATTCAGGGTTTTTTTTAGGAAGAAGGATGTGAAAGAGAATAGATGTTGTAGAGGCAGCCATCCCTATTCTAGAATGTTTAGTTCTTTCACATTTTTGGTTAGGGCTAAAATGACTTAGTTCAGGAGAAGGAGAATCCTTAGCTCATCTTCTTCCGTAGGCTGAGATGTATGAAGAGGTAAAAGGAAGTACAAAAAAAAGTAAATATAGGTGTAGAATTGTGGGATTCTCATACCTTGGGATTCTTATACCCTGGGTCTCTGTATCATTGTTCAAGGAAACTGAAACTCAGGATAAATATGGTGCATCTTTGTGGAAAGTTAATTTTACTTTAAGGGGTTGAGTAAGGTAGGAGGTGCCTTGTATTTATGATGAAAAAATGTGGGTACATTTTGGGGTAGAATATAAAACTTATAAATTTTTAAAGGAAAGAAAAGATTAAAGAAATGGGTGTTTATTAAAGGCTGTTTAACCTATGCCTTCTAGGCTCCTAGTAAATATTTACTTTCCTCTGCTGTAAAAGGTACTTTGCTGGGACAGTTTATATAATACTTATATAATGGAAGGACTATAAACTTTAAGATCAGAAATGAGTTATAATTTCAGCTTTTTGACTTGTTGTCTGGATGACTTTCAAATGTACTTAACTACACTTAATCTTTTTTATCTGTAAAGTGTCCCTTTTCCTAGTCAAGATCCTGTGGTGCTTGTGAACCCATTCAGGCCAGCTCAATAAAAGGGGAATGGTTGTGAGGATTGTAGGGTTCCAGGAATAAGGAAAACTGTGCATCCAGGCCTCCTGGGAACTGATACTTTGAAGCCTTCAGGACTTAGCCCGCTTTTCTGTTTTTCGAAGGCAATCTGTCAAGGCATCACCACCTATCCTTTTCTAGTTGTTGTTTTTCCTCTCCCTCCTGTCTAGGTCTGTTCTTTAACTTATAGTCTATAATGTCTGTCCCAGTCCTGCCTTTCTATGTATCATAGCAACTTCCTTCTGTGTCTTATTTCAAATTTCTGAGAATTAGCTTAGCATATCTTTCCCAGCCAGTTTGCATAAAGCATAGGTTATAGTCCAGTGTAAGACCCAGTCAGGTGTGTTATTTCTGTGCTTCATGTCAGATGAGCTAAGAGCAGGATCTTAAGTACAGACCATGGCTTGAGATGTACGAGATAAGCTATTAGTCACAAAATGTTCATTTAAATACAAATGTTCAGTCATCAGAGACTGTATTTCAATTATTTTTCAAGCTTAGGTAATATAAAAATTAATTGTTAAATTATTTTCTTTAATAGTGAAGAAATTGCCTTTTACAATGGGAATAAAAGAGAAAAGCAGACAATC